GCTGCGCCGCGCCGCCGCCCCTGCGGTCCCGCCGCCGGACCCCGGCGATGCCGCCCCAAGCGAGCCGCCCAGCGACGCCCGCCGCGCCGCGGCCCCGCCCCCGCCCGAGCCCCCGCCCTCGCTCGGCCCCGCGGACCGCGGCCGCCGCTGCTGGCCCAGGGCACCGCCGTGGCGGGCGGGCGAGGAGGGGTAGCCGCCGTCGTCCTCCGCGAGCGCTGCGACGGCCTCCGCCTGCTGCTGGTCCAAGCGGACGAAAGCGTCTATCTGGCTGGCCATGAGGCGCACCCGGGCCTCCAGCCGCTGGATGTGTATCTCGCGGGCGGAGAGCTCCTTATAGAGACGGCGCATCTGGCAGAGGGTGTTGGGGCAGCAGGAATAGGGCGCTTGGAAGAGATATGCATGTGTGTGTGTGTGTGTGTGTGTGTGTGCGCGCGCACGTGCTCGTTTACGTGAACGTGCACGCGTGAGTGTGTTTGTGGAGGGTGGGGGAAGGGCAGCAGGGCAGTGCATCCACTGACGCAACCACGCCCCACTGGCACCTTCAATTGCCGCCCCAACACACGCCCAGCCACCCGCCCAGCACGCGCCCCCGCCCCCAGACCCGCGGCCGCCGCCCAGCCTCCCGGCAGCCCAGCCCTCACCTCCTCCGTCCGCGCGTAGCCGGCGCCGACCCGCAGCTCCAGCCGCCCCTCCAGCCGCGATATGACCGCGTCCTTCGCATTGGACTCCGCCTGCAGCTCCAGCAGCAGGTCCCGCATCGCCTCCGCCTCCTGCTCCCGCCGCGCCTCCGCCGCCTGCGCCGCCGCCGCGGCCTGCACCGCGGCGGCCTGCGCGGCGTCGCGTGGCTGCCGCTGCGCATCGCGGGCGATGGCCTCTTGAGCGCGCAGCTGCTGCCTCAGGGCGTCCGTCTCAGCCGACAACTGGGCGACTAGCTCGTCTCTGAACCTCAGGGCCGACTGCAGCGCGTCCCGCTCATCATCCTCCAACGGCTGCTGCTGCTGCTGCTGCTGCTGCTGCTGCTGCTGCTGCTGCCCCTGCTGCCCCGCCGATGCCACAGCAGCGCGCGTCTCCGACGCGTCGCCCTCGGCCTCCGCGCTGTCGTGCATCGTACCCGCGTCCGCGCCGCCGCCGCCGGCGCTGCACTGCCAGTCGATCAGCGCCTGCTGCAGCTGCCCGATGACGTCATTCAGACGCCGCTCCTCCGCCGCCCGCTCCTCGAGCGCGGCCCGCTGGCGCTCCACCTCGGCTGCTAGGCGCGCCGCCTCGGCCCGCGCGTCAGCAGCGGATGCCGCAGCCTGCTGCTGCCCGCCCTCCTGCTGCTGCTGTTGCTGCTGCTGCTGGTGGAGAGCGCCATCTTGCAGCAGTCTCCTCAGCCGCCGCACCTCCTCTTCGAGCGCCGCGGCCCGCAGCCTTGAACCCTCGTCCCCCGCGGCCCGCGGCGCCGTGCTCGGCCCCAGCCTGAGGCTGTCGCACTCCCGCTGCAGCGCCTCAAGCGCCGCCTCCCTGGCTTCCATCTCGGATCTCAGCGACGCCAGCTGCGCCACCAGCTGCCCCTCGCGCTCCGCCCGCCACCCGGCCGCATCCGCCCCCGCCGCCGGCTGCAGCGGAGGGGCCACGGGCGCGGCCGCGGCCGCGGGGGGCGGCGAGGAGACGGCGGCGGCTGCGGCGGCAGCGGCGGCGCGAAAGTGCCTGGCCTCGCCCCTCAACAGCTCCAGCTCGGCTGACAGCTCCACCAGTGCGTCCTCGCGCTCCGCCACCTGCTGCCTCAGGGAGTCCAGCTCCTGCCAACAATGGTTTGGGGGTGTTCCAACAGGCTATGAAGTGTCCAGTCAAAATGCCCTCCCAACAAGGGGCAAAATGCAGGCAAGATGGTGATGCCCGCAAAGAGACGGCTTGAGACGGACCCAAACGCCGATTGGCGGGCGCCCGGGCCGCCCCGCACCTCTCGCGCCGCGGCCAGCTCCGCCCGGCCGTCCTCCAGCGCCGCCGCGAGCTGCTCCACCTCCCGCCCCTTCATGGAGAGGTCGCGCATCATGGCC